ACAGTTACTCTTCCTATTTAATTCTGGAGGATCTGAGGACGCAGGTCAGAGCATCAGTGTGTCATAGCTGTATAGCTCCTGAAAACATCAAACAATCTCAACAGACTATCAGGAGTGGGCTAGGCAGAGTCTACACAGGAAAGGAGGACAGGTTGTGTGTCTTCTAGGATTCTCTTTTTCTCACATTTTTATAGTTGTATGAATAATTCTTAATTAAATTAAGAAACACTTCACTAAATGGGAGATCTGCAAGATCTGGCTCTTCTTATTCTATGTAGATTTTACTTGTCACAGTGCAAGATTGCAAAGAAGCTGACAGAGATATTTTCATCATATTTACAGACAGCCTCTGTGTAATCATCCTGTGAAGATAGGAAAACTAAGGATGTTCTAAAAGAAATAAATAATTTAGATACTGTTATTGAAGCTTTCACATGTGGTGCAACATTGATTTTTCTGTTCAGTTGTCATTTATCTTTATGCATTTACTGCATCAGTGATTCTATAAGGTCTTGAAAACAGCATACGGGCCTACATACGAGGTACAAAGCCCTCTACTCAGCGCTGATGGTCAAATGCTTCTGACAGATAAAACCTCCAGTCTGAATCAATGGTCTGAACACTTTCAGACTCTTTTCAGTACTAGTTGTGCAGTGCAAGACTTAGCTATTCAGTCCATCACACAACAATTGGTGAAGAACGAATTGGATATTGCCCCCACTTTGGGAGAAACTCTTAAGGCCATACAGCAGGTGAAAACTGGCAAGGCAGCTGGGGTTGATGGAATTCAATCTGAAGTCTGGAAGCATAGGGACCAAGCACTCCATGCTAAATTTCTCAAGTTTGTGGTGCGGTTTGTGAGAACACAGCTGCTTTGGGCAGGGCACGTCTCCAGGTTGAAGGACCACCGCCTCCCTAAGATCTTGCTTTATGGTGGACTTGCCACCGACTGCCACAAGAGAGGAGCCCCGAAGAAAAGATACAAGGACTCCCTGAAACAACATCTCAGCCTTGGCCATATTGATCATCATAACTGGTCTACTCTGGCCTCCAATTGGGAGGCCTGGAGACACACCATCTATAACGCTGCTGATGCTTTTGAGAACACACGCAGGATCAACCTTGAGGAGAAAAGACAACACAGAAAGAATCATGTCTTGCAGAATATACCATCTAAGGAGTCTTTCTGTTGTGCCTTTTGCAACCAGACATGCCTGTCTCGTATTGGCCTTTTTAGCCACCAACGTGCTTGCAACAAACATGGGTAGAGCCCTTCCCAAATCTTCGTTCGAGAAGCCTAGCCATGATGATGATGGTGTGGTTTGTAGCTGGGAACTAGGTGAACTACCATCAGACCTTCGTGATGCAGTCATCATCACCTTGTATAAGAAGAAAGGTTCTAAATCAGACTGTTCAAATTACCATGGTATTACTCTGCTCTCCATTGCTGGCAAAATCCTGGCAAGAATACTTCTGAACAGACTAATACCCTCTATAGAAGAAGGAATTCTACCTGAAAGCCTATGTAGTTTCAGAGCCAACAGGAGTACCACAGACATGGTGTTTGTTCTCAGGCAACTGCAAGAGAAGTGTAGGGAACAGAACAAATGCCTCTATGTAACCTTTGTTGATCTCACCAAGGTTTTTGATACTGTGAGCAGAAAAGGTCTATGGTAGATTTTGGAACGCTTAGGTTGTCCCCCCAAGTTCCTTAAAATGATCATCTCACTCCATGAGGATCAGCACAGCCAAGTCAGATATGGTGATCCACTTTCTGAGCCCTTTCTAATAACTAATACTGTGAAACAAGGCTGCATTCTCCCACCAACCCTATTCACAGTCTTTTTCAGCATGATGCTTCAAAGGGCCATGGCAGACCTCAATGACTAAGATGGTATTTACATTCGATACTGTATTGATGGCGACCTATTCAACCTAAGGTGACTGAAGGCCCACACTAAGACCTTAAATGATCTTGTCCGGGAGCTGCTCTGTACTGATGACACCGCTCTCATCACCCACACAGAAGCAGCTGTGCAGCGTTTAACATCCTGCTTTGCAGGCACTGCTGATCTTTTGGGGCTGGAAGTCAGCTTAAAGAAAACAGAGGTCTTCTACCAACCTGCACCTCAGGAAGTCTTCCATCATCCCCATATCACCATTGGCCAATCAGTACTCAAATCAGTTTAATTACTTAGGTAGCCTCATCTCCTTGGACAGTAATATTGACAGAGATAGACAACAGGTTAGCAAAGGCATATAGTGCTTTTGGAAAACTCCATAAAAGAGTTTGGCGAAATAAACACTTGAAGAAAAGTACAAAGATCAGTGTTAACAGAGCCATTGTGCTGTCTACTCTCTTATACGGGTCTGAATCATGGGTCATCTACCATCACCACCTGCCTCTCCTAGAATGCTTCCATCAACGCTGTCTCCTTACAATCCTAAACATCCACTGGTCAGATTATGTCTGTTCTAGAACAAGCAGCAGCTACGAGTATTGAGGCCATATTGCTGAGAACACAGTTGCATTGGGTAAGACATGTCTCAAGGATGAAGGACCACTGCCTCCCTAAGATCCTGCTCTATGGTGAACTTACCACTGGCTGCTGCAAGAGAGGAGCCCCAAAGAGGAGATACAAGGACTCCCTGAAACAACATCTCAGTCTTGGCCATATTGATCAACATAACTGGTCTACTCTGGCCTCAAACCAGGAGGCCTGAACCCCTACCATCTATATCACTGTTGCTTCCTTGGAGAACTCACACAGGATCACTCTCGAGGAGAAAAGACAACGCAGAAAGAATCATGTCTTGCCGATATCACCTAAGGAGTCCTTCTGCTGTGCCTTTTGCAACCAGACTTGTCTATCTCATATTGGCCTTTTTAGCCACGAGCGCACTTATAGCCCTTCCCAAACCTTCGTTCGCGAAGCCTAGCCATGATAATCCACCTTCTCATCTCAACCTTCTTCCCAGTCATCATCTGGGATAAATAGATTTTATTTTGTATTCCCAGCAAACCTTTTGGAGCTGTCTCATTTAGAAAGAAAACCGAGTAAATTTGAACTTACATATGTTCAGCATTACTCTTTTTAATCATAGATTCTGTAGGCTAATAAAAAGTAGTAAAGAGAATGCAAACAGTTCAGAGAAAAAACAGAACCCTTCTGAAATCACCAACTGGGAGTTATCCAGACTGAATCAAACTTTGTGTAAGGTTGGGGCTGGATTTTGGAAAAACAGTATGAAAATGATTTTCCATATTTTCTCAAGCAAATTTTATCACTTTGTGGTATTTTTTTTTTTAAATGTACTGTATTCAAATATGAGACCTGGAACCTTATGTTTTTTCATGTCTTTCAAATGTACACTTCTTGAGCTTTTCCTTTTATTTCAATACCCTTTCTCCGTTTTAGATCTCCTTAATCCCCTGTCCAGACCAGCTTAGAAACTTGTCTCTTTACTGGTTATTATTACTTGATGAGCTTACATTATTTGAAACTAATGTGAGTTTAGCCATCCTACAATTACTTATTTTTGTGAACAGAAACAACATTTAATGTGATTCATTCTAAGAAAATCCTAAGAGCTTCCAAAATAGGAAAGCACCTAGTTTGTTTGCCAGAATTATTTCAAATAACACCAGCTAAAGTTTTGAAAAGGTTTGTAGTTCTGTGTTTGAGGTACTGAAAGCAAACATAGCAAACACCCGACAACTGTGAAGGAAAGGCACTGAGAGCAGGAGTTTGGGAGCTGTGGTTTTCAACTTCAGAGGAATCATTTAAATCCTTCGTGGCAGCTCCTCAGATAAAGGGAAAACAGCATTCTCTGAAGGGTGGCCAGCTGTTTAGGACTCAATAATCAGGTTTTTATTCAGCCAGCCTTCTGGAGCTGCTTCTATCACAGATAGTGATGCTGGCAAGCAAAATAAAGAGCTCTTATGTCATAGGATGCATTCTTGTAATAATGGATACTCCTTTCTTTATGTAGGAGCTAAACTCTTACTGATTGCTTCTAAATGTAGCTTTTGCACTTTTACAGCATGCAGTACTGTGCCGTGAGAAACCCCAGAGGGGCACTGCTTTGTGCCCCACCTGGGCAGAGCCCTGTCAGCAGAAAGAGCAAATTGCTCTCACTTCCAGTTCTCTGGGGCCTTGGGGGAAGGGAGGCAATCAGCATTTCTGAGAATCATGTTACTTGAATTTAAAGATCTGAATACCAACGTAGTTCCACATGCTATGACTTGAATGTTTGTATTTACAATATATTTGTTTCTCTCCTAAGTCTTATGCTAACTAGATGTGCAATAATAAATAATTTGGGATATATTTATGGGTTTCATTCTCTTTTTCCAGCATTGTACTGTCTGTTTAGATGAAACAATGATTAAAAAAAAATTAAATCAGTTACTTAGATCGTCCACACTTCTTGTATCTTCAGGTTTCTTCCTTTTTCTTTTTTTTTTTTTTTTAATGAGCTGATTTAAGTTTCCTACATACTTATCTTTAAACAAAATAGGGGAGAAAATATTATTGAAAAAAAATTTGTATATTATTCCCTCACAATAAGATCCAGTATTCTGGTTTTCCTCTTCATTTACACTGAATTTTTAGTCTACAAATATCAGATGGTTTAACAGCATTTTTGGTCTTTTACTCCCGTGTCCATTGTTTCGGTGTAATGCTTCTGAGGTAGAAATCCTTTATATTGTAATGCAGAATACAAATATTTTGCTATTCAATCAGTTTTCAGTTCTGATGGTAAAAGTTATACAAGTTTTAGCAGTTCTACCAGCCAACATGATCCCTTGTTCTCAGATATGTTAGGTTTATTCTATCCTTCCATCACTGAGAAAACTTATTTCTATTTTATTTTTACCCTCTACTCACTTTTGATGAAAATCAGTATCATATTATTGTCCTCTCTGGTATTTAACAAGTGAACAATGAACAATATTTATCACTCAGCAGAGTCAAAAAATTTCAACAGATTCTTACCTGTAATTCTGTTTTTCATTTCCTATGTGAAATCTGTCATACTGTGAATATGCTCGGTTTCCTTCCCAGTCCATTAATTCAATTCTTAGAGAATATTGCCTCTGACTTGTTATTGCAAAGATAAATTCATTTCCCAGCCAATGTTCACCTGATGGGCTACCAAAACCCTAGAAGAAAAGTTGGCAAAATAACTAGATGTAATTATTGTAATTGGTAGAACCTTTATACAATAATAAAACCACCAGTATGTTTTACCTACATATTCTAATTACCGGTCATAGCTTTCTGTGCTCCAGTTAGACTGTCTCTAAAATGACTCTACTAATATGTAAGATGTAGGAATGTCATGAAGTTCAACTGATATTTGAGAGGGCAGTTGAGGTTATCAGTTGAAAATCATTTTCCAGTTACATGATATTAATAGTATGGTGCTGTATTTGCACATCCTTCAGTGTGAATATTGGACATAGTTATATTCTATAATACATTTCATATGGTGTCAAACCTAGTTATCATTAAGACAAATCAAAACAGATTTCTATACATTATAAAAGATTAAAAACAGTTTACATTAGCATAGATTATAAACCAAATTCAAACTAGCTGTAGGTGATAGCTCATGTCTTAGTCTTTAAAGGAGAATGGACAATACCTTTTCTGTCAAGTATCTGCCACAACTAACGGAGGGAAGTTTGTAATTTAAAATTCCCTTCTGTATATAAGATCTACTGGACAGGTCAGTGCCTGTTCCTATACACTGTCCTAAAGCACAGGAGAGGATATCGTAACTCTATTTTCTAAAAATGAAAAATAAACAGCAGTAGAATATTTAAGGTACTTAACTCTCTTCACATTTCATATATTCAGATGATCTTATTTCCAGATAGGCAAACTATATAATTTTCAAACATGGAAAAATAATAATGAAGGAAAAAGTATAATCAATTTTCAAAATGTATTCCTCATCATGGACAGTCTTCGCGAACGAAGATTTGGGAAAGGTCATTACCCTTCGAGCCTGCGCAGTGGATTTTTTAGGTGAGACACAGTGTGCGCTGAACTGAGCCCACCCTTTAATCCTAAGGTTCATCTGCCAGGGCCGAGTGAGCTTGGACGGTGGTAGAGAGGTCCTCAGGACGTAGGTTTGTTTAGAGTGACCTTCTCTTGGATGGATGGCCTTACAGGGCTGACGAGCTCCATCTGCCCGGAGGAGTTCCCTGACCGGGAATCGAACCTGGGCCACGGCAGTGAGAGCGCTGCATCCTAACCACTAGACCACCAGGGGGCCCCAAATGTATTCCTAGACCTATGTTTTTGTGCATTTTCCAGGTTTTAAGTTGTTTAAATTGTAGTGAATATTTTACTACTTTAAGATTAAAGATTCATTTAATGTTATTAATTTATCTACTATATATTAGAATTATTTTTCTTCATAAAGTATTAGTTCATACCTGAGAACTCCTAGCTCCATTTCTCATTTTCCTTTTCTTTCTCTTTAAACAGTAGAAATTATTTTAAACCATAATATTTACTTGTGAAGAACTAGTCCAACATGACTGTTCTTACTCATATTTCTTAAGATAGGAAAAATGGAATGAGAAATCTTCTGATTTGCTTACAATGATATTCTAGGAGCATTTTAGAAGACCTTGTGGAAATTTCCTGATCAAATTAAATGAAAGATTGGATTATTTCCAGAAAGTACATATTTTTAAAAGGGTTAAAGTAAAGAGATTTCCTTGGGACTAAAAGTTAGATAAGGAGAAATGTGGCTGTGAGACACATTGGCAAGACATTGGTCTTCTCTATATACTGTTTCAGTCACTCCTAACATGGGATGAAAGCATTGAAAGTAGAATCCTCTCTCTCTTTTTTCATAATTGCATTGCTCTGGCTCCAGATCTGATTCGTTGGGTCCATTGCCTCCCCAGCGGCCATGTGGTAGCACAGTTAATACTCAGGCAACGCATAGGTATATTAGCTTCAAACTTCTAAAGAAATTTAATTTAAAAAATTTAGAAGCTTAGAGGTTTGACTGGACCAAAAAATAAATAATAGAGGGATTTTTGTTATTGTTGTTATTCCTCCAGGGAATTACATTAGAAAGTACTTTACTCAGGAGTCATTTTTTTTTCGCTACCCTACCTAAGCTAATAACAATATTTGGTGACTCACTGATACTAGAGGCTAAGACATGCCCCTTTTGGTTACACTGAGTACATTAGTTTATGTTTTGAATAAGCATCTCTGCTTTTTGGTTCAAAGACCATCAAGTGATACCTATGGACAAAGTGTGTTTAATCTGGAAGAATTGAAATTCAGTAATCTGTGGCAAGTCTCAGAGAAGTCTCAAACTGAAATATGGGAGGATACTATTAGTTGGCTTTTTCCTTTATGTTATTTCATTATATCCCTTTCTCAAGAAGACTATTTCCTACATAAGTCTCTGTAAATACTGGCCGTAGCTAATACTGGTGATATCTTGCTTTGAACACATCCATCTTCCAGTGTGAGCTCCTGCTCCTCAAGCTTTCCCATTATGATGCTTCTGTTATCTCTCACCTACTGCTTTGATGGCAGTCTCAATCATATTTGGCTTCACACATTGTTCTTAAAATACAAGAGTTGATTCCTCACCTGTATAAACCCTGCCTACAGCTGACATACTCTTCTATAGTTATCACCATTTTCTATCTGTTCCTTCGATTCTTTCCATCTTCTTACCTTGTCTCTCTACCCTGTGACTGTTACACATGGTGTCTCCTGTTCTAGCATCTTTGGCAGTGTCATACCACAGGAGTCAGTGGTTTGTCTCTGACATCTTCTGTTACCACTGGTAACTGCCACTTGTTTCAGAGGAAGGCAAAATATGCTCTGCATTGACTACCTAATGGGAAGTTTGTTTCTCTAAAATGCAGAATGTAGAAGTGTAACACAGTCATTTATATATCAGTCAAAGTGAGTTTCTTTGCAGTCTACATGGATTTTATTCACAAAAGATATATAATTATCATCATCAACTGTCTTTCTTTAAAGGAAGATTTTCAGGAAATTCTCTCTCCCTTTTTCCCAGTGCTGGAAAGTTGAAGAGACTCCCCTTTGAACTGTGGCTTTGTTGAATTATATATGTCTTATCTTATTTGGATTACAGCCTATTCAGAATGTAATACATGTAGCTTTTTTAACATTATGTGTTCCCATATGTATTCTATAGAAACTCCAGACACCATATATAATTATTCTGAAATAACAATTTTTATTCTTTGTATTTACATTTCCATCTCCCTTTTCACACCTGTTATTATACTAAGATGAAAATCTTTCACTAGGTGGCTTGCTCTCCTGACCCGAGGAAATGAAGCTTCAGCAATACAGAACAGAAGGAATATACAAAGGAGTATTAAAAATTCTGAGGAAAGCCATCACACTAGTTATGGAAAAATGAATCTTACTGTAAGGGGCTACAATATCGAAACTCAGATTAGAAATGCAACCAAGGAAGTAAGTGGGATATAAAACATAGCTCTAAGAAAGGAATGTTCCTAAGGAGAAGTAATGCACTTTATTAAACACCTAATATGGATGGAAAGAAATAAACAAACAAACAGGCACTCAAATCTTTCATAGATCTAAACCAGAGAGAAGCAGTACATTTCTGTAGGCACAGAGTTGGCAACAATTTCTTCAGGTATAATTTTATTATGCCAAACTCAACTGTTTCCAACCTGTATTTAGTCTGCAGTTTACTGCCTATATTTCAGAGCTGAAGAAAGACTTGCATGCGTGCTGTTTTTTTCCAGATACTTTGGCTGACTTAATAACAACAGAGCTCTCCTTTTTTATATCTTACTTAGATTGTCTCTACTACAAGAACACTAATACTTTGATGAGATATGTAAGCTTTTGTTCGCAGAACAGAATGATGAAATATTAGCCAACCCCCCTCAAAAAAAATTATTTAATTTTGCATTTCCATTTCTAACACAGAGGGTGCCAAAGAAAGTGGTTGTGCTTGGTTCTTCTGATTTACCTTCAAGATCTTTAGCTTTCAAAGTACATTGTAGAATTTTGTCTTCAAGCACAAAATATTTTTTTTCTTTTCTCAGCCAGAAAACTTTTTTGTGCTATACTTTTTGAACACCTTTGAGGTTGGGTTAAAATTACACAAACCTGAACTTCAACAAGGTTTCAGTAGAACTGGTGTCTGTGATGGGAGAAAGGCTGAAGCAGAAGCTCAGCAGTTGCCTATTCCAATTGCCTATAAGGACATGCAGAGCAGCTGGTCAAGTGCAGATGCTGAGCATGTATTGCCTCAGAGGATCCTTAGACATCTGGGAGAGATTTCAGGGACATAAAAGGGGAACTTTAGCTTCTGCCACAGAGAATCTTAGAAAATAATAGGGATTCAGGAGACTATTAGTAATAAGAATGAGAGTTCCATGTGGGACACAGGACAAAAATCCACAGAAAAGCAGACATCATTAATTCTGCTGTTAATGAGAGAATTCAGTAATCGTTCATTAATTAAAATTCAGTAATGAAATTCAAGCATTTTAGTTTATACTATACCGCTTAAGTTTATACTTCTGCTCAAATTTGTGGGACCCCAAGTGATAAGATGCCCACAGCCTTGCCTAAGACCATGCTTGTCATCTTTGGACAAGAAGTTTGGTTTTGAGAATGCCCTAGGGTACAGAGTTAAATCGTAAAATTTAACCTTAGAAGTCACCTATTGCAGACCCAAAGCTGTCATTAAATGTGTTTACTTCCCAGTACACATATACACTGTCAACACACTTGTTGGTTTTTGCACTCATATCACTATAGTAAATACTTCCAAAATTATTTGTGTTAAAGTTTTGTGCCTAACCTCAAGGAAGTACATGAGGTGATCCAAGTTAGCCTCAGCTATCAATCCACTAGGAAAAGGAACATCTGTATTTCATGAATGCGTTTGCTATTAACTATATTTTAAGTCCCTCTGAAACCCAGTGTGTTGTAAGCACTGTTCCAAAATTGTATTTCAAATTACTAAGAGACACTATTTTTTCATTATCTTTCTATATTTTGTTCATTATATGTTTCCAAATAGAGAGATTAATTCTTTAAACTTTAGATTTTTTTCCAAAAATACTCGATTTTGCTTTTCCCTAGAAGTTTGCATAAT